AACAACTGCACTCTCAACTGAATAGTTATGATTTATTAAGTGTTTACCGAGGACAAGGTATGATGCGTTCTGAATTTGAAAAGATGAATAAGAGTAAAGATGGTCTGCTCTCATTCAATAACTTCTTATCGACGAGTACTGATCGACAAGTATCTGAATTATATGCGGACAGTGTATTGCAGAATCGCAATCTGTTAGGAATTCTCTTTGAAATGGAAATCGATCCTTCGAATTCATCAACACCATACGCCTCCTTGGACGAGACAAGTTACTACGGTGGCCAAGAAAGAGAGATTCTGTTCTCCACACACACGATTTTTCGCATTGGTACTATAAAGCAGGTTAAAAATGGCTTGTGGCAGGTCAAGCTAACTTTGACCAGAGATGACGATGCGCAACTCACAAGTCTTACTCGATACATCAGAAAAATGATTCAACAACCAACAGGAACACATCGACTGGGTTCTTTGATGATTAAAATGGGCCAGTTCGACAAGGCCAAAGAAATCTATACTACATTACTCAAGACAACACTTGATAGTGATCGGCAGCAGCTCGCTCAAATCTACCATCAGCTTGGATTCATATATGAGGCAAGAGGCGAGCTGAAGAATGCTCTCTCTCACTACAATCGATCTCTTGAAATATACTTAACCTATCTAGCGGCGGATGATCCTCAACTTTCTCCAACCTATTCCAATATTGCTTCCGTAGTTAAACAGCAAGGAGATCTTGAGTGTGCATTGAACTACTTCGAACGCGTTCTCAATATTGATCTTCAGTCACCAGAGATTGATCAGCTGAAAATTGCAACTGATTACAACAATATTGGTGGAGTACTTCACGATCAAGGCAACTGTTCTCAAGCCCTCAAGAACTATGAGCGTGCTCTGAAAATCAAAGTCAATCATCTACCATCCCTTCATCCATCACTAGCCATCACGTACGGCAACATCGCAGGAGTATATTATTCAACGATGGATTATGCAAATGCACTTGCATATTATAAAACAGCACTTGAGATCGAGCAAAAATCTCTTCCACCTAATCACCCATCGATAGCCTTGATCAATAATAACATGGCAAATGCATTGGATGCTCTTAATCGAACTAAAGATGCCATCCAACATGCTGAGAAAGCAGTAAACATCGCTCGTCACTCGCTTCCCTCCAACCATTTTCAAATGCAGAAATATCAGCAAACTCTTGAGCAACTCAGACAAAAATTGTTTTCAGATGACGAGATCGATGAATAATACAAAGCTTTCCATTTTCTCTTGCATTGGTGTTCAACTGTCACACAATAGAGTACAGTAATTCTTTCCGAATTCCTCACAGCTGCAAAGCCTTTATTAAGATCATGGGTGTGGGTGGGTGTGGGTGTGGGTGTGGGTGTGGGTG